AAAGCTAAAAGAATATAAGCTAATTAAGTTTATAAAATTAATATATAATAATTTTTAACACAATAGAATACTAAGAAACAGACAGTGCTTTGATGCTAATCGATAGAAGCAATCTAGCCGATCGAAGCACTCGTCTCCCACGCTGGATAGTTTCCCCCGGATTCAAGGTGGATGACAAAGCACAAGTAGTGTCCTATGAGGAATATAGTCCGTTCGGACTGACCACCTTTGAGTTGAAAGGCCATGGTATCGAGGGGCATGCGAGGTACCGATTTGCCTCATACCTACGTGATCGTGAAACTGGTTTGCACTACTGTCAAGCACGCTACTACTGCCCTTGGCTTAGGCGATGGCTTTCGCCTGATCCTCTCGGAACGAAGGACGGTCTGAACCTCTACTGTTATGTTGGCAACGATCCTGTGAGCTGGGTAGATCCAACAGGGACAGTGCGCCGAGACGTGGATGCAAACAATGGAGCGAGACAAGAACCGCCCTCTGGGGATAGAGAGCGAGTTACAAGTTGCGGGAGATGCAAACGGCGTTCCAGGGCCTCGCTTGCAGATACGAGGCCCAACGTCGTCGCGCGTAACCGCGCGGTGTTGAGAACATGGGTTCTTGGCTTGGCGGTAAATGCTAGTGCTTTTTGGATTAACTGGCCGCTGAGTTCAGGTGCGGGCGCTCCGGCTTGGAGTAACCTCGCGAACTATGCTGCTACTACTTTTTTTGGTGGCTTGTCCTACATGCTGATAGCGGCTACTTACGATGGCCTAGTAGGAACGTGTACAGAAGGGACCAAAACATACACCGAGTTGCAACAAGAGTTGGTATCATTGCGCAAAGAGAATGTAAACCTCGAGGAGGAGAAAGAAGACCTCAAAACGCAGAAAGATAACCTCGAGAAGGACAAGGAAGATTTGCAAGATGAGATTTCCCAGCTAAAAAGAAAATTGGCGGGAAAAAATGATGAGATACGAGGACCAGATTCGGCACTTGGGGATGGGAACCGTGCAGATATCACTTTTAATAACAGTACGGTGGTGAAAGGAGTGCCACAACAGCCCAAGAGACAAACATGGTTAGACTGAAAGTGGTACTTATAGGATTGTTTTATATTGAGAACAATTAACTTAGATAATAAATATCATCAAGTTATAATAGCTATTAGTGTTTGAATTTTCATTATACCGGACAGGGATCCATGAATCTCTTTTTGCTAGGAACTGCAGGGTAGGTAGGTTTAATCCAATGTGCCATGAGAATAACATTGAGCAGGCCATTGTGTACAGACCCTCTCCCACAAGACTCAAGATAGATAATGCGCCTATAAGATTTAGAAACCATCAAGTAAGGCGCATATATAAATGGTGATCCACTCCCCGCGAATGAGACTACTTACAGAGCAGCACCAGCTACATTGTGCGACTTAAAGAGTGCAGCTCTTACACTGTTCTCAAAAATCTCGGGTTCACAATACACCTCAACTCAGAGTCAAAGCCATGAGCGAACTAATTGAACCAGCTGACGTGGCGCTTCAGATTTGTGTGTTCTTTAAACCGACTCGCCAGCAATAGTCATAAGCTTATTGCCAATCCACCAACCAATCTGCACTAGATAAGGTCTGTGGACGAAAAGGGCTTTCGGGGCATGGCGATTATGATAAGGTAAGCTATTCTACGTCAGTAGAGTAATCCTTTCCAAAGCATCAAAATCAACAATAACTATACAATGGAAGGATTTCCCATACCCAGTCGCTACCAATATTAGGTCGAAGTGTTCAGTACATTGGAACAAAGGTATGCCTGATTAATGCTGCTTTTCTTTTTGTGCACTTTATCGTTGCTAAAAATAACCCTGGCCAATGGCCTTACTTCAGGCCTCGCATTGTTTCCATCCCTTGTTACGTTTAGCTTAGCCCTGCCTGAACACCTGCGCTTAGACATTGTCATGGCTATTGAAAGGCAAGCTGAACAATGATGTATTTGAACATCCGAAAGGCGATTGAAAATTGGGTCAAAGTGTGCAGCTGTTCAACAACTGAAAGGCTTTTGACGCTACGGTAAGCAACGAGAACCACAGATCCAAAGACTGAGAATAGTAACTAGTCAACTATTTAATCTATGATAAATCCCAGTGGCAACAAATTATCAACAACCAAATCCAATTCATTGACTCTGGATCGCTTTCACAAACAAACAAACAACTAAAACAATTTCTCATCACAAGACTTTCATCATCCTTCGCAATGGCACCTAAGCCCCCTCACCGAAAGCGCCGCAATAACTCCAAGACTTCTTCTCAAGAGTCCCCGCGCACTCCGCCTTCAGAATCTACTACTGTGGGCTCTTCACTTCCTCAAACTCCTTGGTCTTCCGACTATGAGGAACAGGATACGACAAGCCGGTCCGGTACTCGATCCTCACAATTACCCTCTTTCGACACCCCAAGCTCTTCCAATACCACTTGGCCCTCCTCTGGGTCTCCGAACTCATCGATGGCGGAAATTGAAACGTTTGAGATGAATTCTCGAGGTTCTTCTCCCTCTCCTCTGGAGAATGCAAATGTATCTTCATCTAGGGTTGCTTCTCAGCTACTAGCCAATGGCGCGGAGTCAGACGATACGTCAGACGATCATGGGTACGTGCGGGAAACCATTCTTCTCAATCATCTCAAAGTCATTTGGAGCTGGATTCGGTTCCATGGTAGCTATTGGAAGGCCATTACATCTGTCCTGTTAACCATAAGCGTTGTTGCAATCTATATCGGCATTCGGTACTTCGACGAGTGTAATGAATGGTTAATTGAAAACGATCTACCTGTCATGCCATCCTTGGAAGAGCTCAACACAATGATCGGATATACTTTTTTTATATACTTCTCCGGAGTCTTTGTCATCTTTATCCTTGGCCTTGCTGCCTGGTGCAGTATTGATTGGAAGAGGATGGTGTCGACTGAAACTCGCCGGTTTGTATACTTTTGCCTTGCAAATCTGAGAGACTGCTGGTCTTGGCTTCTCAGAGGCATTTTATCACTGTTCCATACTTTGGTAATTAGCCCCTTGACCGCATTGTTTTGGCAGGTTATTTCAATCCCTGGGGCAGTGATATCCTGGTTCTGGAGCCTTGTCATGTGGAGCATTATCAAGGGAGACAAGATCTGCCGTCGCCGCTTCCTCGTCATCATTGTCGTATTAGCTATCTTCATTCATTGGCTCTGGGAAAGGGCTTACCCTCTCAACGCAGTCGAGCAGCTGGCTGCCTTCGCTGAGAGATATCGAGGTGATGATATTCTGGCCTTTTGTATCTTTCGGACAAGCTACTATGTTGCTTACTACTACTTTGCCTGCGCTCACTATTTCTTCCCTGAGAAGTATGAGTACAACATCTGGCATGACCAAGTGGTAATCTTTATCACTGGCTTGGTTGTAGTTATTGCCCTTAGTGCCATTGTGATTGGAAAGATGTTTGATTGGGTCATGCGGAATGCAGACGATGGAAAGAAGATGCAAGACACTTGAAAGAGGGTTGATGATGGGAAGAGGGAGAAGTGAATTCAAACCAAGTGACTGGTTTTCATGAACATGCTCGGGGTCTCAGACACGTGTTGGCTTTTGGTTATATATTTCCTGATGTTCTAAGAAAGGGTGCATTGCTTTTTGGCTTTTGGATTGATTATATAGATTTACATACATACAGCAGATGGATACATTGTTGTAATTTTGCTTTATATATGGGCATCCCTTACTGGTATTATCTGTTGAAATCATGAGGTGTATACAGAAGGTGATCTTTGCCGATTGAGTTGACTCTTGGATATAGTGCCAGAGCATCAGAAGGACGGAGTACACCTGAGCCGATCTTACAAGATTATGATGTGATTGTCGTTTAGTCAAGCTTAACTGAGCATAGTGCTATGTGCTCTTGTGTTCAAAAGAGTGATGGCCTCAGAATAAAATGCCAGAGCTCTGATTGAGGCAACTAGAACTCCTTCAAGCCTATGAGCAATGACCCTTCCAAGATCTCAGGAACTCTTGCGAATTGTAACAATATGAGTCGATATAATAATTACCACACTGGGGCTAAAATAGCCTGGGCAGATAGTTGCTTTAGGATTCGCATCCGAAAGGTGAGAAGTTGGGGCACTTCTGAGAGTGGCTGTATATCTATAGACAGACGCTCGCTATGCCATTCAAAGATAACTTGCAAAAGACTTCTATCCCGCCAAAATTAATTCACTGGAGCTGGACTTGACGCATTATGCATAGTCAACGTTTGATCACTACTGGCTGAGGGTGAGGGATGTCAGTGCCGTAATGGAGCAGCTTGATCGGTGCCAATATCTTGAAGGTGGTAAAGGACAATAACTTTAAGAACACAAGTAAAAGCATCAAGCGTTTGAACTTGTGAATAAGTTATATTAGCTACCGTCCCTAACCAAACCGCCTATCTCTGCTCACATCTTGGCCGTAACACGAACAGGTATTGGCGCTAGTTGGAGCCGTAATCTTGGTTAAGCTCCTGCTCCAGGATCGTAAAAGCAGGTCACTTAGATGGTCGCTGAGGAACTCAAATAAAAGAGAAGATATTAAGTAGTTTTTCTCGGGGTGTGTGAATGAGTTGGGGCTTGAGGCTAGGGAGGATACGGGGTTGTCAAGACGCTAAGTTCTGTCTGCTGATTTAAGCTCTCAGCCACAAGCCTCAACTGTAAATAACACATCTAGCTAACGACTTAGACATTATACCATAATGACTAACCAATTGCTACAGCCAAAGGCTGAGTTGTCAAGACGCAGTGATATGAGGCGGATTTGGAACGAAGAAAACTCGCAGCGCTAGGATTTAGCGGGAATGCACTAACTCGTGACCTGGAGTGGGTCACTGATCTGAATTTGCATGCACCAAAATTAGCCGTTGAGGCAAAAATAACGGTTCAAAATACAACAGAGCAATTTAAATACATAAACTGTACAGAATCCAAAATATAATCTACAATATTGCAGCACCTTGTCTTGTCACCTGGCGCGTCCAAGCTTCAGACGCTCTCAGCATTGTCGCTACTTTGTGAGACCGCAACAACTTTACGGGATCATCTGCAGCGCACGACCCCGTCAGGATGATCGACTTGGAGTCGCTGGATGAGCAGCTTGACCTCGAAGAGGGAGAAGAACCGACTCTTGCAGGTTTAGTTCCAGGCGCACAGGATAGGGAAACCTCTTCGCCTTGCATTCGAGTCCTCAAATGCAGAAGGTCGAGACTAAGAAGAAGGATATGCAGGAAGTGTATCGATGAGGAAGCCATTGCTTTCAAGGAGGAGGGAGGAAATTATACCGCTAGATTTGGTTTAACAGATGTGCCGCCGAAGCCAAACTCCCCACCTGACAATGTCGATCTCATCATGTATCGCTGTTATTGGGCTGGCAGGTGGATTGCAAAATAATACGCACACATAAAAAGGCTAATAGAAATATATTGTAGAGTCAGAGGCTAAGTGTAACCTGCTTATTTATGTTAGTAGCTCTGTCTTACTATAGTGAGAGAGCTTTGGTGTGCGTATTAATCTGCGACCCGCCTGGGAATGTCTCCCGACTTCAATAAGTGGCTGGCCATTGCTATTCAATGGCCCGGACAATTGTACTTGAATAAACTTTCAACATCAGCCATATGTTTGCTGCTATTTCTAAACATTTTTTAACCTCTGATGACCTCCCCGTGAGTCCCTCGTCCATTGCATGGTGAAACTTGGGGGGTTATCGCAGGGACCAGATTGAGTATAGTATATGCCAGCATTGTTTCTTCAGTAATTGATACATATGAACATAACCTATATCCTTGAGCTCCAGGTGACCTATTGTTCTTTCCTGGCGTTTTCTTCTTTGCCAACCTTGCTATTGGTGAAGAATATTCATCATAACGAAGAATGAGGGTTCCAAATACTTAAGCAACACAAATTAGATCAAGACTCAACTTCAGGCAATGCAAGAGTTCATCACAAAGTATACCTGTATTGGCTTCAGAGGTCAGCCAAGTGAACACGAATCCTATTTCCTTTTAACTTAATGTAGGCACTTTATCGGGCCTCGGTGGCGATGCGGGACTGTATTAGCTTGTGCAAATGATACGGACTTCACTCGCATGGCCACTTGATTAAGGGTAAGCTCTCGAGAACACAGTAAGATCTGTCACAGCGCTAGAATCATAACAATAAGAATGGTGTGTCGGTTTAAAAGGTCCGGCGCAATCTTTTCTCTTTTCATGACCACGAAAGATTATAGAATTTACAGTTTTGGGAATTAATTATCAACATATGCAGAGCGTTAGCACATGATAAGGATGTATGGCTCTGCAACAGATCCTTTCAAGTTCTGCATAAGCTCTGACCACCTGCCCCGCAGAATAATTGAATAATAATAATAATGTATATTGCATAAGTATTATGCTTTGTTCATGCACAATATTTATGATGTCTCCATTGACGCAACGCGACTGGGGGGAAACGCGACGGGAATCTAAGGCCGCCACCACAAAACACAAAAATAGTGCCGAGACATACAGATTGGAGGTCATAGAAGCAAGTCAAGTCCTGAATGAAGTCGACACCAACGGCACGGACAACGAAAAGTCCGGCGTGACTCACACCTTCTCAGCTACATGAGAAAGCACAAGCCGGCCCGGATACACGCGGATCTGAGGGGTAAGTTTAAAGGATGTTGGGCTCTCAGTGAACGGGCATTGACATCACTCGTACTATCTCTTAGCTATATACCTAAGAAAATAAGATTCACCGGTGTAGCCCTATAAACAACCAGCTGGGCTTGAATAGGCGTGTCGTCACGTCGAGTGTACCCCCTTGTTCAGTGTTTGAGAAGATCAGTTTAGGACCCAAGATCTGAAATCTACAATCTTCCAGGGACTGGGTTGGCAGAGCAAATCTGAGCATCTGGTCATTGGGTCGTGCTTCAGCTGTCCGCTCTCTCCCAGGAGTTGCAGGGAATACCAATTCTCCATTTTCCACCGACACAGATTGAGCGGATCAGCCCATCCACGGCTCAGCGGCCCTCTTCCCTATTCGTCAAAGACCCCATGTCAACTGGGATTCAATATCCACATCCAAAACCCAGGATCAAAGTGTACACAAACCTCAAAGAAGATGAAAGGTGGCGGTTTCATGAAACAGCAAATCACGACAAAGAGACAACAACCAACGCAAATAGAGTCATTGCGAAACGAGTTGATCTGTGGTCCCTTCCTCCGTGTCCCATCAGATTCCATGCCGCCTAAATTGCAATTTCCATGATGCACTTGGCCAAACTTGATCACAAAAGCAACTGGAGATGTACTTGTTAACTTGGACCTCCATCAAGGCCCTCGTCTCCCATCTGCACCGGTTCCGATTAAGTTGCTCTGATCATTACTATCATTCAAAATTTAATCTAGATCAATTTTCTCTCTTTGATCGTAGTGACTGCCTGATGGCGACGATGTTGAGATCAATTGCCCTCTGAAACAAGGCTTGCCATTCCGAATATGGAGGCGCCAATCAACCAATTTCAACAATTGATCTGTGCGGTTTGGTCCACGCCGCCAATCATCCCGGTGCATCGTCAATTGGACCAATAACCAATACAAATTGACTTCTCATCTCGGCGAAAAAATGGCGCCCCCCGACCAAAGACTTCAACTATGAACAAACATGAATCTAACCTCTAGGACGGACGGGTTGGCCATGGGGAACAAGTAGCCCAGCCCCTCCACGGATAACAAAATGTATATTACGTTAGTCCCGGCCGCTCTGTAAGGATTCTTTCACGCATCTCCAGATATTTCCGTTTGAACTGATGGATGCAAGAAACAACGATTACTTCGTACCAAACGACAAGATGTAACAATTTCCCCGTGGATTTTGGGCGCGGCTCAACTGAACATGGACTCACTCCATGATACAAGCTTTCCCCCCTAATGTCTGCCAAGTATAACTACATCTCATGCCACCCTCGACGGCTTCTTGGGTATGCCAACTCTCCGTCAGTTACGATCCTTTCTTGGAGTTGTTATGCCATCTATCTACTTGGGCTTCTGACCCATATCAAGTTCTCTTATGGGAAACCCTGACACTTGATGTCCTGGATTGTGTACGTTTACTCCTTTGTATATTTAATGCCTTTACAATCGGCCTCGCCATTCTCAACATGTCGCTAACAGTGCAAAGTATACACGTGATTGCAGTCAACAACCGTTGGCAATGGATCACGGAGCACTACTGAGAATGGTCGGCAATGGCTTGACCTTCTTGGCGGCACATATAGCAGTCAAGGACAACGATAAAGCTTGGGAAGGACCGCACTGGCTCCCCAAGGATGTTCGAGAGGCATACAAGACAGATGGAAAGGCCTGCGACTACTCTAACATCCCTGATCGTGTCGTATATGCCATATACCACATCACCAATCTTTTGAAGGACAAGTCGCCCGAGTCTGACCTCGGTAGTCTTTGGGAAGCGGGAGGGTCGCTACGGCTTCCAGCCACTCTTCCTGACGGGGCTACGTTCTTAGATAATAATGTAGCATGGGGGGTTTACGAAGAGATGAAGATTCTTATGACCGCCATGCCTAAGGATAAAGACAAATATATCTACCGCGCCCCTCACTCTCAGAGTAGCGGATCGGGCATTGTTCCTTTTCCCGTTCAGTCTAATACGGCTCTTCCAGATACCACTGTAGCTCGTGCCGATGACGGACGTGATTGCCGTCTCCGATTGGCTAAACGAAAACGAGCCGGCACCGATAATACTAATAACCCGCCCTTTGTGGTTTTTGAGGACAATAAACCAGTTCCCAAAGTCGCCAAGACCAATTTTCGACCTGCTGACGGCCTGCCTACCACCAACCAAGAGAACTTGTCAGCCTCAAGCTCTAAGCAAATATTTTGCGGTACCTCGATACAGTTCTTGGAATCTCAACAGGTCGAACTCGCCGAGACCTTGAAGACTCTCCAGCACGACATTCAACAAGGTGATATAAATTTCAGAAACCGCCGCACTAAGGAGGAAGTCAGACAGCAACTCTAGAAAGATCTCGATGAGTCGCTGCGAGAAGTTGAGACTGCCCTGACCCTCGAAACTGGCGGAGCTTCAAACCAAGAAGCTAGTTATCGGCTTGAAGGCGCAACTCTCCTCCGCGATCGGATCAGCAACAAGATACCCAGTGCCTCAGCCGACGAGTTCAAGAGGATGGAGGATGATCTGAGAGGACTTCACGAGTCGCGGCGATTGATCCTGGGAGATGTGGGTTGCATTAAGGACAGCATGGCTGCAAAGATATGGTATGATGAGACGATGAGCAAACTCGAGAAGAAGGCGAAAACTGCGAACTGGATACCCTTTATGGATGGAGGAGATGTCTGAGGTGGGCTTACGAAAGTATAAGATGGTTGATGAGCGTGGAAATAGAGACGATTCGAAAGTACTGCCGTAGTTAAGATGGATGGTTGTCGCAAAGTACCGTGCAACAGGATTGAGTCTATTCCAGGTCAGTGGGAAAGAATATCAGATTCAATTGGGTAGAAGGGTAGACCCTTTTGTAGTAATTACATTTTGTGTTTCTGTGGGTAATTGAATGATAGTAGCTATATCCTGGGCGAAACGTATGTACAGAAAGATCCTCTCAAGACATCTAAAGAACTTTGACTCCATCGTTGAACTCAATGTTTCGACAATCTCGACCTCGCCAAAGCATCATAAGCCTCCCACCCAGCGTTTCAAGACGGTATATAGTGATCTCAACTTTGCGAAATAGTAAGTTAACTCCTTATCTATTCGAAAGAACCGTGTTGCCATGAATGAACAATGGAAATTACTTACCATTAGTCGCCGCACTGCGTAGCTAGGCAACCATCTTTCTATGATGACAGGAAAGCTTTACAATAACACAAGTAAAAAGTCTGGCTTCTTTTTCCAAAAATTATGTCACGACTACACACGCTCAATGCATGTGCTCATAGCTACCTGATAAAGTTGGGCGTGCTTCAGATCCATAAGATACTCCGTACGATCCGCAGCTCTATTGTACTATTCCTATATGCTAACTGTAACAGATGTAGTTCTTATTGCATTTACTAAATTACCTACTTGCCTGTAATCTTAACTTATAAGTTCTTGTATCGTTTGCCTTCCTAAAAAGAACCGTGCTTGCTATAACCTCTATAACATTTATCTGTCTTACGCTCTTGACTAAAGTTTTGTATTTTCTAGGATATATACCCGTTTCAATTAACACGGCCTTTAGAAGACAATAGAAAACTCAATTACCAATTTAGTTTTAGCCAAGCATGTTCAGGGTGGAATCCATTGTCCATTTGCTGTGTTTCCGATGTTCGGAATCGAGATTTCTTAGTCACGAAAATGAATACCAAACAGTGGACCATTACTATCTAAAGTGTAAAAGGTGTATCGAACAGAAAAGAAGAAACAACACGAATATAAAGCATCCCCGGACCTAATATTCGTTCTATTATATGTTTTTATCACCCTTCCTGAAAGGGCTGAATTTAGTCCTTGACGTGGTCTCTTGTTTATAGAGGAATTTTTAACTTCTCCCTATGGCACGACTACGTAAGCCAGGCCCTGCTCTCCGTCGTCTTCGATGGAGAAGACGCCGACTTCTTTCCCAAGGCTGGAAATCCGAGAGGCGTCGTATTCGGGATGACCAGTTGTATGACATCATTTCACAGGTAAGTCTCACCGAGTTCAACAGTATAATTGACTAACTACGTACTGCTCTAAAAAGGCTAGAACAGAGCAATGAAGTTGATAAGGCTGGCAACGCGATAAAGGTTTGTAGCTGTATGGCCTCTCGTATAGTAACTCAAACCTCGCGACAAGGCATTGTAAGGGCATTTGGCTGGAACTCAGGAATGGCTTTGCTAGTCAGGATCTCATCATGTCCCCTGGCTTGTGCTACTGCCAGGCTTATAGAGGATTCTGTACGCAGAAAGACTTTCAATATGGCGACTGACTTTGCTTTTGGGATCATACTTCGACAGCTAAATGTCTATTGGAGAAGTTTCTGGATCTCCCATAATCGGGCTATTAGGCAAGATTAATAACATAGATAGTATAGCTAAAGGATAGACAGAGGACGCAATTGATATAGTGGATCAGTTAGTTTTATTCTCTTGCTTAAACTATTCACAAGATGCTAGTAGTAAAGAAATTCTTCTTATGGCTTTGAGAGTTCTGATCTACTATTGTAATAAATCGGGTTTAAGCCGAATAATAAAATAAATATTAGATAGTGGTCTTTCGACGGGCAGAAACCATTCTGGCTGATGTGATCAGTAATTAGCCGCTCACAACCAATGTTCGTGTGAATGGAGTCTCATGTAGCTACTTGAGTTTGATCTAGGTTTACCACTCTGCACAATTTCATTTGACCCAATTCATTGTCACCTTCTTACACCATCGCCATTTCACACAACTAATGTTCAGGAATGGAATGCGTTAAGTCAGTCAAGCTCGGTCCGTGATAAGAGTAAAGAAACCACATCCAAGTCCTGTAACCGCTAACAATGTATTGTCATTACACTCAATAGCAGTACTATACAGCTAACAGGTCCCCTGAAACTCCATCCCGACAGGGACCTGCGTCGCGATCGCATCTGGGAACTGTCTCCGCTTCCCTAATAGCGATGAATCTTAGCCATCAACATCAACTGCATCTGGGTAAGCGACGGCATTCTGGATGAGATTCAATCGCTTACAACCAGTATAGGTGTTGAAACAGCCACTCGTGACCTTGTGGTGCTTGCATCGTAAACACTCATTTTGATCATTGACGCAATGTAACGCTATAGGTAGTTAGATGGGTTGGCAACGCCCTTCTATGGACCGCCAATAGTAAAGCCAGGATTAACTATCGAAATGCAAAGGCACTGGCATGCATGGAAAGACAGTGGCAAACGGGTCCAAACGGTCCAAGGCAGAGGCTCAAGAAACATCTAATAGTTCATGCGCAAGTTAAACTTTTTCCAAAGCAACGGGCCAATCCAGCTCCGTTACACCTGCGACCAGTATTTGGGCCAGGCAAGTCGCTGCATGAGATAGCCGGCATCTCAGTGAACTGCATCAGGCCAGATTTGGTGGAGTTTCTGGAGGAGGGCCTAACTCTGTAGAAGAAGATAGGGTTCTGCCATCGAGAACAGATACCGCAGCCCATCGCCAATGGTGCAGGGCGTGACAAGCTCATCGATGCCTATTCTTTCACATGTAGGCTCGAAGTTAAGATGAAAGACGATTAGATTCTTAATCGTGTGACCATTGTGATGCTACGCACGGCCTACGAGAAAGCCTGCCAGGAGTGGAGACATTCTGGTGTGCATCAACGCAAAGGAGGAGGGCGCAGTGATGCGACAACCGTGATTGACGAGATCCTCAGCGAGCTATACAAAGACTAAGACGTCGACGATAAGAAACGTTATCATCGAAGTTGACTAGTACGAGTCAAGGTTGCGACTCAAAGTGTATCACATTGTAGAAACAATTTGAAATCTCAAGGGCTACTTTTTGGTCGTATTGATTACTCCTACCACGAAAAATTACGTTACATCCTTAGACATTGGTGCTGGATACTATGGATAATCACTGCATCCATCCACTTGTAGACCAGAAGGCCTCATCTCAGCCATTGGAACCCGCCGTTGGGACTTACGACGCATCACTGATATATAGCGACCTGTCTGCCATGTCCTCAAAACTGTCTCAATACCTTGTTTCCTCGGGGATCTTTCCAGAAGCAAAAGTGGCCCTGATGATGGAACCGTCTTGCTCGTACGTGGTCTCCACAGTTTCTGTACTCGAGGCCGGAGCCACTTTTGTGCCTCTGGACGCCACGCAGCCCACAAAACGCCTCGCTCAACTGATCAGAGATATCAAACCATTTATCATCATTACTTCCATTGAGGTTCAAGACAAAGCGACAAGCCTTTACAATGATATACTTGTTGTCGATCAAAAACCGAGTCCCTGGCAAAGAATTCCATCAAAGACTAGGACTGCTTCCCATCATACGCCGGAGTTATGTACATCCCGGATCGTACATTGACTGAGTCGGGCAACGAGGCTCATCTTGCTATCAACTACGTCGGGCACTTCTTACGCGCCAAGTTACTGGTCGAGCATCTGAGGTCTCCTGTGGTCTCAGGGCGTGTGATCAATGTATCGAGCAGCGCTCATACTGTCTCGCCCTTCCGCTTTAGCGACCCTCACTTCATAGGATCATCGGATCTGCCTCCTGACCAAGAGCCCTCCCGTGAAGCATGCAGGGCTTTTGGAATCCCTTGGGAGTCTGGCTACTCACCTCTGGTGGTATATGCGTTGCCCAAGACTGCCGTTACTTTACGTGCCAGGGCCATTTTATCTGGCGTTCTCAAAGATGCAATCACGGCGTTCTCTGTCAACTCAGGCGGTAAATGAAACCCGAAGACGCGTATTTTGGTTTATTGCTGACATTGCCGGCAGTCATAGCTACTAACCTATGGCGACATATACTTTCAGACCAGGCGGCCGTGAGTCTGAAATCACTCCCAACCAAAAGCCCGAGTCAAGGGGCCGCCACGATAGTATTAACGGCACTGGACCCATTGGCTGAAGTTGATTGACATTAGAAATGAATATGATTATGGTTGGTATCTAACCGCCACTCAATTTTGCTCTAGGCTATTTTGGAGACTACTTGGAAGATTGCCACGACTCTGAACCAGCGCGATATGCGAATGACATTTTTCTAGCTCTTGGGCTGTGGAAATGGACAGGGTCTCTTCTATCTCATGACCCAAATGAAGGCAGCTCCTGTACATAATTTATAGACTTTTCAACAGAACTCGTAAGTCCAGAACCTGTCCTCCAAACTTGATCATGCCCACTCTTCAGGTTTAGTGTCTCGACCAATCTTTCTTTCTTCTCTCCCTAAAGCTTAAGCGCGCAACACATTGTATCGACTTGAACCGACGACACATACTCTTGTCTTCGTAGTAGGCCATGACAGCGAGCTTCCCTGCCGGCCAAAGTGTCTTGAAATCGCTGTATCTAGCAGGACTTACATCCCGCCATAGCGTCTTATTCGTGCCGAATGTGGCAAGTAAAAACTGTTGGCATATCGGTGGCATAGGGTCTATATCTCTTAGCAATGGAAGATTGTACGGACCCACCACACCGATGATAGCTTGAGGGGCAACAGGGGTCTCGGGCTTATCCATGGACTGCTGGATTAACGTTTGGTAACGGAAGAGTCGCGCCGCAAGACTGTCCGGTCAATATATATCGGTCTCCAACACGAAGTTTGCGCTGCAAATACTGTATACCCGAGATAACATCGTGAGTGGTCTGGATGCATAGCCTGTTGTTTATCACCAAGAGGGCCTCTAGACAGCATTAGTAGGCTGAGTGTCCGAGTCGAAAGCCGGTAGTTGATAGATGCTATACCTTCGATAACCTCGGCAACTCCAGATTTGAATAGATCCACGACTGTCTTGGCAGCAAAGTTGGTCGCCGTAGTGTCAGGGCCACCGTGGACGAAACTGTGAGGTGTGTTAAAACTACAATTATAGAATGAATAAATGTGAATGATGTTCTTACATGACCCAATACATTTTGGAGGGGTCTCCATGTTGCAGCCTAGTTGGTATCCAAACATCAAGGGTCTGATATTCTGATGCTTCTGCGTTTAGAAGATACAGGATGCAACTCAAGTGTTTGAAGTGTTGTTTCATTGCGCAAGGCTTAAAGTCGTTACTTGGCGCATGGCACGTAGTTAACATTGAGATGATAGGTGAAGCATATATACGCAAGCCGCCTGATGTATCGTCGTACAGATTTCCATGAAATTATGTCTTCATGCTACCGAGTTGAGCTGCTCTTGGGGTGTACATAAATATATTGACTATGGCCTTGACAATCAGCCGGATTCTATTTATAGAACATGCAAAAGGGCATCACAAAACACATCACCACTTCTGATATTACCATGAACAACACTACCTTCACCAAATGCCCATCTGGTCCTTCTACCTGGTCCATAGCACCTCAGTGGCTCGACCCAAGGGCACAATCGGCACCTTGGTGGAAGTTAATCGGCTCTCAACTTTGTCTACTTGCGCAGGAGGCACATTACCCCATGGAATAATTTTATTTCTCTATGCCAAGGTGCTTCCCAGAGTTGTTCCATTGAACAAGGTTGGAAAACTTAATTCGTCCTCTCGCTATACTAACCTACTTACCGACGATGGGACCCCCTTCGAGTATAGCTGGAAGTGGAATAGTTCCACCAACTCCCGAGATTCGTTACTGCATCGAAGCCATCAAGCCTCATACGGGTAGTCCGACTGATCCATACAACTTTTTGGAAACAGAGAAGCTTCTGACTTAAGACTTAGCCTCTTGCATTCCTGGCTTGGATCTCACTTAGTTTCAGCACTCCGCCCAAGCCTTTAGTATCTAACAGCGCCAGGTAGCCTCAGACAACCTAAACGCGCTAAAGGCAAGCATATTCGTAGGCTTTAAGCACGTGCTTAATGGTATCGTTGTCAAAGCTTACTTCCTTCCGTCGGCCAAAGCAGGATCACGCAGGCCTTCAACGTTCAAGACATTTGCAAGCGCAGCTCGTGGGGTGTTAACCAACGCGGCTGCTCTGAATGCTGCTTTGGATTACGTTAGGAACAACGTAATGGGGATGGATCTGGTCCCTAACATGCTTGCAGTCAATTATGTCGATCCGACTAAATCTCGCCTAAAGCTATACGTTTCGTCCACAGCAACTTCCTTCGTATCAATAGTATTAGTCATAACACTTAGAGGGAAATACCAGATATAGATCGTGGCATTAAGGAGCTAGGGCGTCTCCTCAGCCTTAGCCTGGGGAGAGAAACTCTTATCTCTTAGGACGATAAACTTGAAGTTTAAGGTGTCTTCGACAAGTGTCTCGAGCATGATCTCGACCTTTATGAACGGATAACATATCACTGCGGTATAGACCCCAGTTCAAAGCCTCCCGACCTAAAGCTTCCCGATCTGAAGCTTTACATACCCGTCATTCGCCTTGGAAGATCAGACGCAGCTGTGGCTTCCAGCCTTGACCAATATCTGCGTCTTAGGTAGAGAGGTAAATTCCATGATGGCTTCGTACGTGCACTAGGCGGTGGCTTTTGACTCGCCAACGAATCAAGATCAAAGTCTCGACTTAATAATACTATACCTGGTTAGGGTTAGCCTTAACTAGGACGCTAATGCCCTGCACGCTGTAAATTTGTCTGTCTCGATGGATACCATGCTGTCTTCAACTGAATCAAATTCCATCCTCACAATCAACATCGTCACTGCGTCGACCGGCCCAATCCTGAGAGTACGATGTCACAATCCAATGTAAGAATGGAGTCGGATAGTCCTTCAAACCTGCAACCTCCTAAACCACCAGCCGGTAGCAGACAGGTAAAAGCCTGTAGCGCTTGCAGAACAACCAAGGTATGCCGCCATGAATGGTCTTTAACTGCAGTCAACTAAAAACGACTCGGTAAATTAAACGCAAGATGGCCAACGATGTTCCTCCCTGAAATCGATATCAGGCCCGAGGTCTCACCTGTCAGTGCAAGAAGAACGCACAGTCCATTCTTAAAGAAACAAACAGGTACAAAACTGAAAAGAATACCTCTGTAAAGGTTAACTAATTCAAATTGCCACTTAGATCACAGACAGAAATGTCTGGTCAGATATCCCAACTCCGAACCGCCGTCGATGTCCTGTTGCGCATGTCTAACCTGCCTCCCCTCTCGTCGTACAATCTATCAAGCCCAACCTCGCTCGAGCAAGACATATCCCGCACTGCAGATGATGATGCGAGCCGCGAGGATCGCGACGAATCACTTCCACTGGCGCAAATTCTGACACCTTTGGCCGCTGAAGATGAAGGTCTGTGGACCAATTTCTTCTGCTACGGAATACTTTGTCCGCATGATGGTCTCGAAAGCCTTCGAAAAAGCTCCACCGCCCTTACTGCTGCCATTTGTGCTGTAGCCTCCCTTCGTGACCCCAAAGGATCCAACAATTGCAAAGTCTGCCACACCGAGTTCCTCAAGACCATCTCATCATCTATCTTTTCGATGTCCCATACCGCAGATGATATTCGAGCCCTGATTGTTGGCGCATATTGGCTGGGCAACGTCTCATATACCCTGCTCGAACACGCAGTACAAATCGCCATAAGACTCAATTACTATCTCTACTATTTCTCGGTTATGAAAGGTCCTAGCCAGCAGGACAAGGTTGTTTATTTTCGCATCGTATTGGCCAATGATGCTCACTTTTACTGCTGAGTTAGATATCTGCCGTCTCTATCAACACCGAACCATATCTTTAGTAAGTAATCATGAGGGACTTACGGGGTCGAACTCGTAGCTAAGCCATTCTGTAACGAGCCTCCGCGCTAGTTCAATTCTAATAACCCGCTCTCCAAGACAGAGCACCTGGGCATTATTGCTCTTGATTGCCCTTTCCACACTGAAGCTAACGTGGGCAGTTACTGCGCGGATGCCAGGAACTTTGTTGGCTGCAATAGCCACTCCCAAGCCTGTACCGCAGATAAGAATCGCTCTGTCAGCATCTCCCTTGACAACAACTTGAGTAGCAGCTACAGCATTGCTAGCGTATGCGCTTTTGTCGGTAGCTCTCTGCGAGCCTATGTCAACGATGGTTGACACGGCGGTATTAGTCTCGAGATCCTTGATGATTGCCGCTTTGTAGGCAAATCCGGCATCGTCTCCGCCAAAGACGATTCTGAGAGTCATAAGGAGAAATAACAGGGTCGGGAATTTCGGTATTTCTTCATTGAAAGAGAGGAAAACCCGGGCTTTATATTGCGGGATAGAAGGGAGATGACATATGTTTGGAGGATCCAAGTAGAGACGCGAGAATACTCTGTTCGGACGTGTTCGGACAAACTAAAGAATTGTACAGTAAGATTTCCATTTCCATTGCCGAGAGTAAAGGGGTTGACTGGGGCATTATTGCAGCCCTGGCCCAAGCGTTGCCGTACGCCGGCCGAAACTCCGAACTCATAAAGCAAGGGGCTTGCCTAGGCTTACAGAGGAATTGCCTCTATATCAGTATGCTGTTAGTTGCAAACTTGCAATGCAGCACGCGGTTGAACAGACTGTTATCTACTTGCCTCATGAAGCCGAGTTACGCAATCCCGTTTTCGCAAACTCTTTCCTCACATTATTTCAACCGAACGAGTTTATCGTATTTCCCTTTTCAATCTATGTACTTGTAATGAATAAACCTAGCTACAGCCATTAAATCAGTGGCTAGAGGTTGTTGGAACTTCAGCCACTGTCGTAGACTCTGTATGTGGTCCGCCGAATCTCGTGCGAAAAGGCCGGTGTAAGGATAGTTCCAAAACTGGAATTCCTGGGGCCCCAGACCCCATTAAACTCTAAGCAGTCTGGTGCCCTGACCTCGGGGGGCAAGCAAACTCCGGCCTGAATTAGGGTATTGAAAATAAACTTAGCAAAGGATATCCTAAATCTAGTAAAGTTATCCTAAATTTATCCTAAGTTACCTAAGTCTTTTTGTTATTTAGGATCAAGGTCCTGAGTTTTCTTTCCTCCCCTAGCCTGACTCGAGCGATATTAGGACTAAGAAACTGGGGTCTAGACCAGATAAAGCTCAACTGCCAATTATCCCCTCACGAAACAATTTATCTCTCCAAGAGTCCGAATACTATAAATTCTCCTTGTTACATCCTTTTAAGTCTATCATTATTTAAAGAACCTACTAAACTTATATAATCTACGTCTATTACATATTGTCAACATGTCCACTACCAAGCGAGAACACTGTGCCTCTTCCTTGCGAGATAAGGGGACCGCCTCCATGGTAGAAGACACCACCGATACTCAGAACTCGGAAGGCTTTATCTTCGAGGAGGAGACTGAAGCTGAGAAGAAACTTATACGTAAGGTCGATAATTATGTTCTACCTTTCATCTGGATCGTTTACCTGCTATCCTACATAGTATGACTCCGAGTAGCTTATCGCTGCAAATAATCTTATCGCTAACGCAACAAAGGACCGATCCAACATTGGAAACGCCCGAGTCGCTGGCATGGGCCAATCTCTCGAACTTACCGATGATCGTTATTACCTCGTTGTTGTTTTGTTCCAAATCGGATACGTACTGGCCGAAGTTCCTTCCAACATAATTCTCTCCCGGGCCCGTCCTTCTTTATTCATTCCTGCTCTGATAATCTTCTGGGGGACAAGCTGCGCTGTGGTTTCTTGCGTTCAAACATAGCAGCAACTTGTTAGTCTTCGATTTCTAGTCGGTGTCGCCAAGGCTGGCTTCAGCGTAAGTAGCAGTTAAGACCGTCAATTCAGGAGCCTTTCTAATAATTCGTTCTTCGCCTGCCGTTATGTTCATCATTTCCTTATATTACCGCAAACACAAGCAGTCAAAGCGATTCGTTGTGTTCCATAGCGCTGGCATCATGTCAGGGGCATTCGGTAGCATCCTTGCCGGCGCAATAACTCGAGGTCTAGATGGCTCGCTCGGCATTGCGGGCTGGCGATGGCTGTTCATCATCGAGGGCGTCATAACCGTGGCTGTATGTTTCGTTGCCAAGTTTACACTGCTCGACTATCCCTTGACTTCCAAGAGGCTTAGGCCCGAGGAGCGCGAACTAGCATATGCCCGACTTCGAGCTGACGGCATCACGAGCCGAAACGATCCATCCCAGCTCAAGATTAGCTACCTGGCTGCGATGAAGACGGCTGTATCAAATTGGAGACTGATTCCTCTGACCCTTGGATACATGACGGTCATCAGTTCTATGTCACTGGCTTACTTTTACCCAACATTCACTGCCCAGCTTGGGTATAACAAGACTGACGCCCAGTATGTCACCAAGTCTTCAAACCACCGCGTCGAGCTAACAGGTACCAGATATATGACTGCCCCCTTCTACGGCGTTGCCCTCGTCATTGCCGTGACTCTTTGCATTATAGCAGACAAGGTTCCCCAGTTTCGAGCCTTGTTCACATTCAGTGTCCTTTTGATCTTTGGTTGCCTTTTCAGTGCTCTGGCTGCGGCTATCCATAATCCCAAGGCTATATATGCCTTTTTATGCTTCATCAACACGGCCGTCTGGTCTGCCAATCCCCTCTCGCTCTCCTACACCAGTACGGTTCTCGGCCTAGTCCAGCCTGAGGTTTGAGCAATTTGTCTAGCCATTATCAACGGTTTCGCGAACCTTGCTTAACTCTATGGTACTTATATCTTCACTGCCTCGACGCCTCCTGATTACGTTATGGGATTCTCTGTCTATTCAGCGATCTCCACCATAGGTGCTACTATCTACCTGTTCGCCTTCTTTGTCTTCAAGAAGTGGCCTTGTGTAGGCATTGTGAACTACTAAACGCTGTTAACTATAGATATAATAATCTAGCTATAATTAGTCTTAAGTTACAATAAGAGAGACCTTTATATAAATATATTACACTAAGCATTTTTAAAGTATTATTTTCTATATATAAATAGTCTTAATAGTTTACATAACCTTTTATAAGGGCTAACTAAAAGTGTAAGTCTTATAGTTTGCAAAGCCTTTTTAATCTATATCTCTTATATTTACTATAAATTCCTAGTTATGTAAGTCCTTTTGTAAGGCAATGCTAGCTTATTAATCCTATATATTGCCTTTACAGTGTTAAAACACGCCTTATACTTAACGTGTAAGGCACGTACTATAAGCATTAGTAGCAGTTTTTATTAACTTAAAATAATACTCTTAGTAAATTAGTTTAAACAGTATATTAACTACCTAATATAATTACCTAAAATAAGCTTTT